AAGGAACTTCCAGTCTGGATTTGCACCACCTTCGCGACAGAGTGTTTCTGTAATCTGATAGCCAGCAAAGTCCGTCAAACGCTGAGCCTTCTCAGCTTCCTGGCCCATTGAAATCCTATGACATAAGATGTATTAGATAATCACATGCCCAGTGGGGACGGCGTGACGTACCAAGTATCTGTGACTACGACATCGGCACCTTTTACAGCTTCCCGGGGGTCATTGCTCCAGACAATGTGCTTGTCACACCCAAGCTCTACGACACGGTCCCAGATGGGCTTGGGAGGGTTGTATTGAGGTTGTGGAGGTGTTGCGACGCGGACCTTGTGACCCAGACGGGGGTAGGTCACGAGCATGTCGTGGAGGACGTTTGCAGAGTCACCGACGTATGCAATCGTGAGTGGTCGCAAGGGAGGAAGAGGCTTTGTAGGAGAGGGGGCTGGTGTATCGGGCGAGAAGAGGTGAGCATGCTCATGAAGTGTCAAGAGATCTGCAAGAACTTGCGTTGGATGCCAAAAGGACGATAAAGCATTGAGCACAGGTACTGGGGAATACCTCGCGAGTTCCTGAAATAGCTAAGTTAAATATAGGAACAGTAGGCGAAGGATTTTCGCACCTCGATCTCTTCGTGAGCACCGACGCGTGCGAATATACCTTCGCACATACCACCGATGACTCGTGCGGAGTCACGAGGAGATTCATTCACACCAAATTGGATATCGCTGGAACCCAGGAAAAGGGCACGTCCACCCAAAAGAACTGCAGCGGTCTCTGCCGCCATACGAGTGCGCGTGCTGCGTTTTGAAAAGAGAAGAGCAATAGACTTGTTGAACAGGGACTGAGAGGGCATACGAAGATTGTTCTTTTTCTTGGTCGCCTGTTGTGGGGCCAACCAAGGTAGAGACAGATGCTTCAAGTGATGAGCATGGTTAACAAGTCGATTGATTTGAGGACCACTAAGGTCTGCGAGCGTCATAAGACGCGGAACGACGGACATTCTTTGGTTGATATCCTGTTATAATGCTTAGAACCTCTATGTCTATCCAGCTAAGTAACTAACCTTAGAGCGTTCGAAAGTAAATTGAATCGAAATCAAATTGAAATTTGAAGTTAACTTGAAAGCACAAGTATCTTACATAATATCTTCGGTATTAGCCGACTTCCTTTGGCAGTTCCGCCCCTTCACGACTTCTACAACTACGACAGGCTCATCATTGTCCTCAACGGTCACAACGTTCTGCTCACTGGTGTTGACATCCTACTCGTTGTTGTATAGGACGAGCCCTATCTTTTGGTCCTCATTTACCGCAGTGTTGATCCGATTCCATTTCACGCGTCGTGGGAGATTAACCAAACGCGATGGAGGCAACAATGCCTGCCGATGTCAACTCAAGGTCACGCTCCCCAACTCCAGCTCCACCTGTTCAACCCGACCATTTCTTTGGTTCAGAGGGTGCATACCTCCCACCATCTCCCAACTCAGATGGGAGAACATGGCTCGAGCCCGACGATGACCCCCTAGCCCATAGAGGCATACCAGTGTTCAAACCGACCATGCAAGAATTTCAGGATTTTGAGGAATACATGAATAAAATAGAACGTTGGGGATTAAGAAGCGGTATCGTTAAGGTAATACCTCCTAAAGAGTGGTGAGTGTCGTGAGATCCTTTGACTTTATGACACAAGCCTACCTATCTACATAGGGTCGACGCACTTCCTGCAACTAAAAAGGAATTGGGAGATGTCAAGATCAGAACTCCAATAGAGCAGCACATGCTTGGTCGCGGTGGTCTGTTCCGCCAGGAGAATGTCGAGAAACGTAAAGTTATGAGCGTCAGAGAGTGGGCAGAACTCTGCGAGAAGGAAGAGTTTTGCGCACCCGGTGTCGAAGACATCGGCCTTCATGGCAGAAACGCGGCCGTAAAGACGAGGTCAAAGCGCACCAAAATGAGGACTGCAAGCACCAAGGTTGAATCTATTGAGCCGGAGGACTCTCCTGCCCAGGTCAAGGAAGAGGAAGGAGGTGACAATAATGAAAGACATCATGGAATTTCTGTCCCACTGTCTCCGCCGACAAGTGTTGTACTTCCCCAAACTCCAGTTTCCACAACTTCCGACGACCCAGTTCATCACCCTGATCCTTCGTGCAGCGATCAATTACCAGGAGACGTGGAGATGACCGCCCATGATGATGATGAAGCGTCTGAAAAGAAGCCTGTCGTGAAGAAACGCGGAGCTCAAAGTCGGGAGGTAAGGGAAGCAGAGCGTGCAGCCAAGGATGCAGTGTTCCTCAAAACTTTCGAGCCACACAAAGATTGGCTACCTCCATGCACTACTGCTGGTGATTACACCGTGGAGTTTTGTCAGAAGCTCGAACGGCACTTTTGGCGGAACTGTGGCCTTGGGAAACCAGCTTGGTATGGAGCGGACACTCAAGGTTTGTATACGCTCTGTCCAAGAAGTTATATCTAAGGTTTTCATTCAACTAGGCTCGATTTTTACGGATGAGACTACAGCTTGGAACGTCGGTCATCTCCCGTCATTCCTATCTCGGTTACTCCCTTCGTCATCCAAAGGCCTGCCAGGCGTGAACACACCTTATCTGTACTTCGGGATGTGGCGTGCTACCTTTGCATGGCATGTTGAAGACATGGACCTCTTCAGCATCAATTACATTCATTTTGGGGCTCCCAAATTCTGGTACGCAATGCCACAAGGACGGGCCGCAGCTTTGGAATCAACCATGAAAGGTAATTTATCAATTTCATTTCTTCAGAGTCACTGATTGTTCTAGGCTACTTCCCGAAGGATATCTCGCAATGTCCTCAGTTTCTGCGGCACAAGTCCTTCCTAGCATCGCCTACCCTCCTGGCACAGTCTTCATGCCGTCCCAATTTTTTGGTTCAGCGTGCACAAGAGTTTGTCATTACCTATCCTCGTGGATATCATGCCGGCTTCAACTTAGGTTTCAACTGCGCCGAAAGTGTCAATTTTGCGCTGGAGAGCTGGGTAGAGCTTGGACGCAAGGCCAAGGCATGCCAGTGCATTCCTGATAGGTCAATATCTCGTCGTATTGTCTGATCAGTGGTCTAACTTTCTTCTAGTGTAAGGATTGATGTAGATCAGCTGCTGTACGATAGAGAAACCGAGCACTTGGACTCTCCAGCACCTGAGCCCGAAAAACGACAACCTTCGTCAAAGCGTAAAGCTCTTGACGGCCCGGAGCCTCAGCCCAAACGCAAACGCCCCAAAGCCAAAGAATCATCGACGTCTATGCCGGTTGCAGGGCCATCTGCGTCAAGGGTCACCCTCAAGCTTGGCCCTCGGCCCGTGGAGGACATCTTCCCCTGCTGTTTGTGTATCTCAACGAGCAGGGATGGCTTGTTCCCCGTACAGGATCCACCTGTCGGTCGGCGGGAGCTTCCTGAAAGCTTATCGAGTCTCGCAACCGAGGCTTGGATGGCACACGAAGAGTGTGCTAAAGTGGTACCTGAGACTTGGGTAGACGAGGTTGAGACGGAGATGTCCATGGAGAAAAGGGTGTTTGGCGTGGACGCGATCGTGAGAGATCGATGGAATCTGGTATGTCCCAATATAGCAAAACGCCTTCACACGCTTAGCTGATCGCCGTGTACAGAAATGTGCTGCTTGTACAAAAGCGCGGCAGAAAGCCCATGGTGCACCTATCCAGTGCACCAAAGGCAAATGCGCGAAATCTTTCCATGTTGGCTGCGCGAGAAATGGAGGGACCAGCGGCATCGTTTTCTCAATACTGCGCGAGGTCGAGAAGGAGGTGATCTTAGTATATCCAAACCCACCACCTCCTGCGCATCCTGTCCCAGCTCCTGATGGACCCACTGCATCTTTGGATCCAGCTTTGTCTCAGTCTCAGATGCAATCAGACGCAATACTGCCTTCTCCCGTTGAGGTAGAGCCCCAGGTGCTGAAGTCAATCAAGAAGTATGACGTACATGTTCTCTGTCTGCAGCATAATCCAGTGAGCAATTTCTTTTCGTGAGGTTTAGCAACGACAAGTTGACAGCCACGTTTGAAGGCTGTCGCCGCCGCAAAGAGGGCTACCAAACAAGACCGTATTAAAAGCGAGCTCGTGGGTCTCCCACCCATGTCACGCATAAAAATTCGTGTTAGCTCCGGTGTCTTTGAGGTCTCTTTGGTGCGCATTATCGAGGAGACCGGGTCTGTCGAGGTTCTCTGGGACCGCGGTATCAAGCGGGAATTCAAGTGGGGAAGTGTCATCTTTGGACAGACTGAAGGACAGACTGTGGTGCAAAAGCCCTCGGAACCAGCCCCTGAGCGTGAGTCGAAATTTTTACCACACCCCTCTTGTTGTTCACTTGTATCTTGTGATTCGTTTTGTTGCGAGTGCAGTTCCTCATCCTTCGATGCAGGTAACAGCTCATTCGTCGATATCGGCGACTACGGCGTCGTCGTCGTCCCCGATTCCAACGCAGGCAACTAGCCCCACGACACACTATGCCCCATATTATGCTCCGCAGTCTCATCAGCAGTATTACTCCACAAATGCATATGGCTCAGGAGTTTCGTCATACCATGCCAGATACGAAATCCCAACACATCAACCGATGACGCAGATTCCCCATGGGTATGCCGCATTTTATTCGCAACCTGCGTATGGCCAGCCTGTCAGCAGTAACAATACCGCACACCAGGGTCAGGAATGGCGCTCAGCTGCAGCAGCAGCCACACACTGGAGGGGCGCTTGAGAATGTGGACACTTAAGATCAATAAACCTGGTCAGAAAACAATAAGGTATACTTATTTTTTATTCAGAGGTGGGACGATTCGCTTAAGGTACATTATTAATGGTGTTTTGCTTGTATTTTGCGTGTATTCTTTGCAATTTACTGCATCAGTTTTTTTGCTCTCCCATGAAGCGTTGATAAAGCCAACTAGCAAGGAGGTGAGTTTAGAAAACAAAGCTTGGCAATTGCGTCAAAAGTACGTTTGGAAGATGGTTAGACCATTAATATTGCGTGCGCGCCTGTGTAGGATGCATCCACAGGGATATATACCGGTCAAACATGCAACAGACTTGATGTAAGCAAACAAACATCTTCGTCATCAAAATTTGTCTATATTTTTCGTGCACGTATCTATTATGGGGTATCTGCAAGTACCGTAAATGTGATTATTAATAGCCCTTCTAGAATTTGTACTTGGAAACAACCTCCCAGAAGCCCTTGCCTTGGATGGTAGCGAGTTCTAATTCAAGAGCTGAAGGCTGGCGTGACCCATCGGGTCCAGCGAAGGTGCCAGCACCCCAAGGAGAACCTGAGTAGAAGTAAGATAAGCAACCCTCGGTTACGAACGCTAGGGAGTAAACATACCACCGCGAACCTCGCTTATGTTAGTGAGTTGCGCGAATGTGTTTTTGTAGCCCAATGGGATGTAGATAATGCCGTGGTGGGCAAGAGTTGAGAGGGAGTTGATGATGGTAGCCTCCTGTCCTCCACCTGGGGTGCCTGTAGAAACGAAGACACTCGCAAATTTGCCAGACAAAGCACCACTAGCCCAGAGACCACCAGTTGCGTCCCAGAAAACCTGTAAAAATGATTAGAATTGTTCGATGGATTTAGCGGGTCAGAGACATACTTTCCACTGAGCGGGGAAATTGCCATAACGGGTAGGAACGCCGAAGACAAAGGCGTCAAAGTTGACCAGTTCGGCCGGGGTGATGATGGGGTAACTTGGCTTTGCGGGAGCATACATCTTTGTGAGGACTTCCGCGGGCAATGTTTCAGCGATCCTGGTTAATCCAGTAAGTAAGGTGATTACACAGGTAGGCCCACGATTGGATACATACTGGTAAATGGTGGCGGAGCCGCCAGCGGACTGGATACCACCCTTGACAGACTCGGCCACTGATGAGGTCTCGCATTAGTAGTAATTTGGGTGCCGTTCTGGATGGTTGTTACTCACTCGTTGCGATATGACCGTACATGGAGTAAATGATGATTGCAACTTTGGGAGACGACATGTTGAAAGCTTGAAAGTGCGAAGGCTAGCAGTTGACAAGGAGGATATGAGAGGAGAGGATGATGATCAAGTTGGGGGGCTGACCGAGTGGTATTTGTAGTGAAATCTCGATGCTGTATCCCATGATCACCAACCCATCCGAGCTCTGTTATCGCAAATTTCAAATTAAGTGTACCTTACTCTTTACAAAGCTCAAGAACATTCGTCTCTATTTGGAACTGAACGCTAAGCTCAACAATTAGCAACACGCTACGGAACTGGCGTACGTGCGAATTGTTACTGGATTGTGACAAATCTCGAGAACTTTCACCTCTATTTGGAACCATCATATATCAACTCTGACTGTTCTGCTTCAAGACTCCCGCCCAAAAGCAATCTATCGCTCGGCAGAGGGTGTGAGAGGGCCGCGTTTGGGATTTCTGTCAAATGTTACTCAGTCACGGTCACTTAAAAAGTCTCCCCGTTTCATGATTCTCACGCTGGACTGACACTTTTGTGATTCGAATTTCGAACATCAGCAATATTACCTTACCGATGTGTAACTTTGGGCCGCCAAACTAGCATCAGTATGTACCATCTGCAGGCCGTGATACATCTTTGACGCGACGTGGTTGTTTAGCTGCGGTGGTGATCGTTGACCGCAGGAATGTATGTATCGTCTCTCGAAGTGTTCATTATATCCCTTCTGAAGACACGTCGCATAGTATTTCATGGATTTTCAATGTGAAAGGCTCGAGTACGTTCTTGATTGTTGTACGGTTAGTGCTGTACTAGTATAGCTAATCCTTGGTCAGGAACGCATCACCGTGATGGTCCAAGAGTTCGAGTCGCCTAGATCTATCTGTCTGTGGCTCTCGGTGTCAACGGATGAGCAGCAGGCGCTACTCGGGCCATTCTCAACGAGTGCGTACCTCAGCTATCTGACCCGACTGTATCACTAACTTTTCCCTGTTACACCTATCAGATCCCCCGATCTCGATCGGGCAGTTCGTCGCCAACGTTGACTACAGCTCTTTGGCCGAGATGACCTGGCGGCAACTATATGTAGCGATCCGGTTCTACCGTGAGGGACACGAAGATGTGAACTTCCCTTCGGGAGATTGAGAAAATCTCTTGGTACAAACTCGATGGTAATATCATGTCTAACGCTGGATGACCTGACACAGTGCTGATGGTACTAATAGGAGCGGACATTGAAATTTTGATGAATTTATGGTTGAGATTGAGTTCACAGTTTTAACTTATTGTTGTGTATACGAAATGCTCATGTCACGAATGGGATGGATGACTTCGCTATTGTTAGCTTATTGCACTCTCGAATGTTCTGTTCTTGTGAGGTGCTTTGGTACCATGGAATGGCTGAGTCTGTCTTTTTTCACTTCAAATTTACATAAACCACCGTCGTGTTGTCCGAGTCCCTTCAAAAATTGTAAATCGTAGTGTCATCGTCTGTGTCAGGAACAAGGAACAATTGTTAGCCACTCAGTTCGGTGATGTATAGGTACTGAAGCTTGGAGGACATGTACGTTTGGCTAAGAGTCATTGCATACCTGCAAGGGAATTGATGTCGGTACAAAATATAACCCTGACATATTGAAACACGATCATAGAATGCGACTCAGATGAAAGAAAGCTCAGAATGTAAACAAGAGGCGTGCGGTAAGTTCCAGACAGACAATTAGTAATTTTCCGTAGTCAGACCTTGATAGAATATAGTTTTCCTTTTATTTCAAGCCAAACGACAATATGATTGCGTTACAGGGTATGCGTGGAACAATAATTCGAATGGATCCAGTCCGCAGTCTTATACATTCAATATATATGCAATATATACTTCCATTCAGTTCGAAGTCGACTCAGTATACGCTGTCGTGGCGAATCCAACCCGCTGGTTCGTGGTATCGAATATACTGTAGAAACGTTCACTGAGCACAAACATCACAATTAGCTGTGCAATGGTTCGAAACAATACGATCACTTGCAGGAATGTGTATCCGTTGACGAAACCGAAGGTGTCGTTGCCAATATCCGCAACGATAAGGTAAATGTCGTCACTGTTGCCGCTGGTGTCACCAATTACGCTATTCATCGAGCGAGGCCAGATTTGTGCATTAGGAGTGAGTGTGAACGCAGTCCCTCCGATAGTAAATATGAGGGGTTTCAGGTTGCTGTATTGGTCTGAAGTGATCTTGAGCAGCCCCGTGGTCTCATCCAAGGTAGCACCAGTGACATTTTTGTAAGCATCGAAGGCATCTAGTACGGATTCAGTGTGTTTGCCTGGGCGCATATTATGTGAGTTTACCAGTCGCAATTAGAATGAGCACAGTGGCAGTGTCGACAATTCCTGCCGCCGAAGACAAGATAGTCGAATCGCCGTAAGTGATAGACTGGTCGATTCCCCAGTAATTACAAGCGGGCGAGGCAGATGTGATGGGGGTATATGTGATGTCACTTGTCATTAAAGAGTTATTCCAACCACCAAAAGTAAGTGTGCCAGTTGGATCCTCTTCCGATACAGGGACAAAGTAAACACCAAGGATCTCAGAATTTATGGAGTTTTGGCTGAAGAGGTTGTCCATAATGGTGGGAACGGTGTCTGTGTTAGACACCGTGCCTTTCGTCAAGCTCGTGGGACCAATGCCGAGGACGCCGTCGACACCGCGAAAGCCCTGGTATTCGTTCGCCACCCCAATCGATTGGTTACTGATGCTCAATGAGCTCAGCGTGATAGTGTCTAGGTACTCTTGCCCAGAAAAATTGCCGGAACCATAGGAGACAGCCTTGGAGTGAGACATCAGTATTAAATGATAGTACAAAGGAGTAGGTACATACGACCGCGTCTCCAGTGCCAGTACTGGTTTTGGTAATGGTATAGTCCTGCTCTGCTCCAATCCATGTATTACCGCTAGCACTGTCCACAAGAAGTCCATCTGGCGTGGTGAACTCATAAATCATAGTTATAAGAATAGGTTTTTACTCGAATGACGCACAGTGCTTCATCGGATTACCGATACCAACCTGTATAGTGTAGCCTATGACTACAACGTTGGTGATGGATGCATTCGCATAGTACTTGCCGGTTTTCGCAGCGTGATGCAGAGCTTGAGCGCGTGCTCTATCACCGGCGACGATATTGGTCGCACCAGCTGCTTTGAATTTAGCGGCAAGGCTAACAGCGGTTGTGTGGGTATTCAAGGGAATGGAGAAAACTGGAGACCCGACGACGAGCAGGAACGACAGGACGGTTTTCAGGCTAGTCAGAGGCAACATGGCTTCAACTGGAGGAAAAAGGATTGTAGTGAGGGTTACTTATGAACGGTTAGATATCCCCGCATTTTATATCATATGAAAGGGGGCCGAAGAAGGAAATTAGATGAAGTTTAGCTTGGCGTGAGCTCTGTCATGACAATCAGAAGTTCAATTTTACTTTGAACAAATGATTTTATTGAGCTTCGGTTGCTTCTGGAAACGAGCGTTGTGGACAACAAGCCAATAGTCACATGACCGTGTTGCATTGCGCGTTTGAGTGCGCGCCTGCTCTCTCTCATATACTTTAACTGGTTCCTGCAGTAGCTCGTTCATGCCAGCACTCTATCGTTCTTATAACAATAATTATACACTAATTAGTTTTAACAGACTATTATGTGGCTCATCATCGGTCCATTCGATAGCGTCGAACAGGGGGATATGACAACTACCAGTCCGTCTCTACCACTATTCTTTTCTTCTATTTGACACTCACCCGTAATTGCAGAGACTAAACTGCTTAAGCCTAGCAAAAACTACGGGCTCGGTCGTAAAGGGCAACCGCTAATCGTGAACAACAAAAAGATTTCTCGTGATGCATGTGAATTCAGAGTGGGCTCGTATACGCCAGATAACATGGTACGAACCAAATTTCGATGCGAAGCTCAGCTCACTAGCCCTCTAGGCCGATATATTATACGTTCCAAGACTTGAACTATTTAATAACAAGCTTAAGAGCCTTATGGTGAAACGACAGAGAGAGGACGATATGACCTGCAATCCGTCAGCCTCTATTACTCTTGAGGATGGAGACCACATTACGATCGTTTCCGGTATTGTGGTAGAGTAGGTGACCCGATATCCTCCAGTTCTCATAGAGTCTAACACAGCATCCAGAGTACGATGGCGACGAATAGCATGTTTTGTCCCTCCAGTCAGAGGCATGCCCTCGTTTTCTTCTGAAGACTGCGCTTCAATCGGTTCGTGTCATCCCTTATCTAATTGGGCTTGTTGACACCGCACACAGGTATTAGCACGCTTGCTTCGGCACATGAGCTTCTCACCCATCACATCACACCAAAGTATGAAGTGACAACCCCGGTTATGACCTCTTTGCTCTGCGCCGCTCAACTTGTCAAGCCCGACTGGTTGCAGGAACTCGTACGGCTTGGCAATACTCCCGCAGAAAACGATGCTCTCGGTTTAACTATCCTCGAAAAGTCTTTTGTCCCGCCAATTGAGAGCAAGTACCGTCCAGCATTCGGACCTGCCCTCCCTCCTGGGCTCAAGAGCTTCAAGCATTGGGAACCAAATGAAGAGAGGTTGAACTTACTGAGGGGCTTCCGCTTCGTTCTTCCCGCAGAGGACGGGGAAGTTGATGCAGAGCTGAGGGACCTGGTCGTAAGGGGCGGCGCAGAATATGAAGGATTCAATCTGAAGGCGGGGCTCGCGAAGTGGAGGCAGGTGATCGCTAAGGGAAAGAGGAAAGTCGAAGAGCTGAGAGGTGCAGGGAAGGGGCTGGTCGTGCTGGCGAAGAATAGCGTAATACAGAGGGCTGTTGAAGACGAAAAGTGGAAAGAAATGGTTGCGGATGCTGCAAGGTTGGTGACACGAAACACCTGAAAATGCTTGGCTGATAAATATGCTTAATAGTTTGAGCGTGTATGTCGTTCAACTGGAGACAGTTCTTGAGGCTGTTGTTCACGTCGACGCGTCCCGCATTGCATCCTCCGGAAGCGATTCACAAGGTTCTTTCATCATAATTGTGTTCGATGTTCTATTATACTAAGATCGTCTCCATTCCTGCAGAATCATCAAGCCACTCTTCCCCTTTGCCTTCCTTTGTTCCCAATACGCACCCCGACGAGCCGTCTTTCCCAGATGGCACAGATAAAGAAGTTCCCGGGGATAGAAGCCAACGTGCTGTCTC